GATAGATAGATAGATAGATAGATAGATAGATAGATAGATAGATAGATAGATAGATAGATAGATAGATAGATAAACCAGAGGAATGTGTGACTCTAATGTAAGAGAGAAAATAATAAGAACTTTCTCCTGTTCTGTTTTGCAATCCATTAGCTTCTGAGAATATGTTTGCCAAGTTCCTTTTGACCTGTTTAAAATGCTGCTTCTGGTGCCTGGAGAAGTTCATCAAGTTTTTGAATAGAAATGCATACATTATGGTGAGGAATTCAAGCATCTGTGACTTATTTAGGGCATTATTGCAGATTTCTAGATGCTCTGCACAGTAAGGGAAATGTTCTAAATACTTAGTCATATCTTTGGCAAAAGTTGCAAGTTTTCCTTTAAATTCTTTATTACTCATTAAAACATTTAAAGTAGACTTGGCTGCCAAATGCAGCCAAATGCTCATCCTGATCATTTGTGTAGTGCATTTACTTGTCCTGATGATGCCATGCCAATGCTGTAGCAGTTATTCATCATTCTTAGTACTGGTTTTAGATGAAAATGCTAATTACCCATTCACATTTATTCTGTATTGATTGTTATTGTGAAGTTGATTGTGAATCATGAAGTTCTTGTGAATTTCAAGAACTGAATAAGGGGAGAGGCATCTGAAGGAATAAATTGGGGGCCTGATAGAGTAGTTGGAGCCCCTTGGTGCCAGGGTTATTAAATAAAGATCTTTTTAAAGCTAGCTGAGTTGGGGGGCTGGGACATGATGGGAAGAAGATCAGGGCTAACAAACAAGATAAGGGATCAAGGCGAGTACAGTGTATTTTTCTTCTTATTCTCTTCCCTTCACATCCCCCAAAGTCATGTACAAATTTTGTTTGTTTGTTTGTAACATTTATCATGGCATTGATACTGCCTTAATATCTGTATTATATATGCCCTTTTCTGGCTCTAAGTAATCATGTCTTTGTTAAAAAAAAAAGAATGTTCTTCAATAGACTTTTTTTTCCCCTTTGGCAATTTGCCTAGATTGCTATTTATGGTACCAATTTCTGCACTTCTGCCAGGAACGCCTTTTCCTTGCTCATGAGGAACATAATCAGGTGAGGGCCTGGAAGCTGCTTTTGGTTTTATTATTCTGTTTGGAAGAGCTTGGCAAGTTCTTTATTGTTAGATTTAGTAGCTGAAACTCCATGATAAACTGGTAGAAAGATTATCATTTAAATGTGCTGTGGCAGTGGGCATTCTGTATGGTAGTGCTCACCTTGTAGACTCCCAACTGGGAAAGAGTACAGAAATATGAATTCCTGTGTATATGAATGCATCCAAGTTTTCTTGATTGTCACTTGGCAGAATGAGATGGATGACATATAAATATAATACATAAATAAATTGTATCATCTGCTCTAATTATGAAATATTTATATATTTTATTGTTTACATTGTATAGTTTACAGCAATTCTTATAAATCTAAACTTCATATTTTTTAAATGGAAAGTGGCATGAAAATGCTGTAAAAATTTATTCCTGCAAACAGAAATTTATTATGAAAAAATTATAAGGTGTGCTCAGTTTGAATCAGATATTTGACCATATTAAAATGTTTGTTTTGTTTACCTATGATCAAAACAGGGGTCCCCAACCTGTGGGCTGCAGCCCACTACTGCTCTGCAGCCTATTCGCAACCAAGCCACGTGAGCGCTCAGGGCCTCACTCATCTAGCATCACAGGTGCTTGTGGCCCCACTTGCACTAGCACCTCTGATGCTCATGGCCCCACTTCTGCGAGCATCTCTGGTGGTCACATCCCCACTCGTGTGAGCATTGCAGGCATTCGTGCCCACTCACACAAGCATCTCTGGTGTTCATGGCACCACTCTTGCGATCAACAGGTACTCCACACATACCTGCTGCACCTGCAAAACCATCCCCTCTTTCCCCCCTCCCCCTGGGCCATCCATCCAGAAAGGTTGGGGAACTCTGGTCTAAAATAAAAGGTTTCTTTTAATTGAGCTTGACTTCATGGTCCTTTTCTTTCTTTCTTTCTTTTTTTTTGAACAATTTTATTTGGGTTTTCACAAAACAAAAGAAATATAAAACATCTCTTTTTAGTGAACACATGGTTCCAGGTTTTCACATCTCTGTACAGATATAATCAGTTACATATTCATCTTTCATCTTCAATTTCATATCTTATCACTACTTTATATATTCTTTATTAATTTTTCCCTCAAATACTTCCCTCAGGCTTATTTTATAGCTTTCTCATTCATTTCTAAATCTATTACATATCCTTTTCATAAAGTTCGTATCTTCATAATAATTATACTTATACTTTTATCTGTCCTGTTTACAATTTCATTACCTATCCACATTTCAAACATTACAAAACAAGTTTTCCCCTATAGTTGCCAATTAGAGTGTGTCACATTTATATCTTACAGTTAGTTCCCTTCCCATTAAACATTCTACTTTTAAATTATCCCATTAAACAATTATAACATTCCTCACCTAATCGCTATATTATAACATAAATCCCTTTTTAATCAGATTCCGCATGGTATTTCTCCTTTAAATTACCTCTAAACAATTTTAAAATTCAATGAAAAACAATAATAATCAATTCAAATTCATCCTAGAAACTGTTATTAATCTCCTTACAGTCCTTCTAGTATACATTAATATATTCAATTATGTTTTATATGTTTTCATATTTTATTTAATCTGTTATCAGACATTCCATTGAATAGCAATAAAAATTTAATCTTCCATTTTAATTGCATATTTCTGTTTTCTGCATAATTTATTATTTCTAATATATTCATTCAATCACATGTCACCATGCAGAATTCTCTATCTTAATTATATTAGCAGCCATTGTCTCTATGTCTATCAAACTATTTCCTTTAATTCTTGTTCATTTCTCATATTTCTTTATTTTCTGATTCTGTTTCTTGTAACTTCTTTTCCCTTTATTTTCCCTTTTTTTTCTCCTGCCAATTTTTGTCCTCCTCCGTCTTTAATGCTTCTTTCTGTAATCCTCCTTTCTGCTCTTTTCTTGTATTTTGTTTATTTTTCACACTGTTCCTTTTTCTAATTACCTCCTCTAATCTCCAATTTTTAAATCCCCTTTTCCCCCTCTTTGAATTTCAAACCTCATTGTCCCAATTTTCTGTTAAAGATGACCTCTTCTTTATTCAAGTCTTCTTCCTCTGAAACTTTTTGCTGATCCTCATACTCTAAAACCGCCATTTCCAGAGATTGTAGAACAAAGCCAAACAATTCTCCTTTTTCTTGCAGCTGTTCCTTCATGTTTTTTAATTCCATTTTCAGTTCCAGATAAAGTTCTGCCATCTTTCAACACTTCCCAGTACTTTTAGACAACCAAATTCTATAAAATTACTTCCCAGAATTAATTTCAATTGTACTCTCTAATAGTGCACTGTCCAAAGTTTCCAAAATCATCAAACAGTTCCAGAACAGTTTCTTCTTTCTTTGTTACGAAGTTCCAAGCTCCATTTTCACTTTCTGGGGGCTCTATTTTGATTGTAGCAAAGTTTCATTTACTTCATTATTCTTTAAAAATCTTTTAAGAGTTCACATTAGTGTCTTTTAACATCAGATGGCGCTCTCTGAAATGTCCAAGTTCCACCCTCTTTTTCCTTCCTTCACTTTTTCTCCTTTTCTGGCTTTTAAGTTTCAAAGACTTCTTATTTTCCCTTTGACGCTTTCAATTTCAGCTTTAAATTTGCCTATTTGGTGACAAGATTGTTTTCCTAATTTCTTCTTCTAATTTTTCTCTCAAAGTTCGAAGACACTTCCAGCTGTAAAAACTTTTTCCCCCTCTTCTTTACTGCTGCTTTTAAAAATCTTTTTCAAAAGTTCTTAAATATTTTAGTTCCAGGGTACCTTGTATTCAGATGTTAATTCTTCTTAGCCTGGACACCCAAGCTGTCCTCTTCTCCGCTCCTGCACAATCTTGTCCGGTCAGATCTTCCTCTTTGGGATGGCCATTTTGACCACTGCTGCAACCGCCTTTGGAGAGGAGTTTTATGCCTAGCCAAGGAGGAGAGATGTGGCTCCCCTCAACCCAGCTGGCGATCTCCCCTTCGCCACTTCTACGGGGTGGCTTCAGCCCCAAATCAAGTAGATCAGAGCCCTCCAGCAGCAAGCACAAACCAAAACCACAGACAATTGCAGATTTTGGTCTGTTGTTGAGGGAGCCTAACCAGAAGCAGTCCTTTTCTATTTCTAATAGCATGTAATTTTTCTACCTGGAATTTTCAGGTAATCTCCCATCACCTGCCTGAGTTCTGCTGATGCATGATATAAAGTAGGCATTGTTGTAACATTCTCAAATATATTTCTATAGCAATTCTATACAGTTAGTCCTTGACTCATAACAATTCATTTAGTGACCATTTGAAGTTCCAAGGGCATTGAAAAAAGTGTCATGACCATTTTTCACACTTAATAACCATTGCAGTATTCTCATAGTCACATGATCAAAATTTGGATTGCTGCAACTATGATTGCAGTGTCTGAAGCCATGGGATCACTTTTTGTGACCTTCTGACAAACAGAGTCAGTGGGGTAGCCAAATTTACTTTACAACCATGTTACTAACTTAACAACCACAGTGATTCACTTGACAATTATGCCAAAAAAAGTTTGCACAATAGGGCAAAACTCACACAAGTCTTGCTTAGCAATGGAAATTGTGATTGTTGAGGTAATTCCCCGTTAGGAGAATGAGTGCACACAGGGAAACGTAGTGAGAGTAGTGAAGAATAACACACAACTAGCACACAGATACACTGTATAGTAAAATGTAGGTTTTTACTTCCAATAAACGTTTAAGCAAAATCCAAACAAGCAGTCCAAGTCATTCACAGTTAAAGTAGTCAGTTTTCAGTCCAGGGATAATCCAACTATCAAAGTCCAATATCAAAAACAGTTCAGCAACAGACTTACATCAAATCCAAGAATAACAGTCAATAGGGAAAAATGGAGGAACGGCAACACTCTCCAGAAACACCAGAACAGAACAAGCCAGGTTTCTGGCTCCATCTTATGGCTGTTTGTGGAACCATACCCAATTACAATTTTAGCATTCCCTTAAAGAGACAGTATTAAAATGTCTATCCTGGTTTATATATTTTCCAACCCAAGTAACTGTTAGGTGACTTACATTCCTAACAGTGATCAAGGACTATCTGTAACTGTAGTTGTTTCCTCTTTGTATTCAGAGTGGCTGTTTTGGATAAAGTCACTGATTTCCTGTTTTTCCTTGGAAAAATCCTAATTGTGGGAAGTGTTGGTAAGACATTTATGATATTTTGGGTTTTCTCTTGTTTGGTCACTCATTGGTCTTCTTTTTGGTGTTTCCATGCAGATTTCATTTAGGTTTTAGCATTTGCATTTGAATGAAATTGTATATGCAATAAGGAATATATTTAAAGCAGGGATCAAAGCCTTTTTTTTTGCATAACAAGAATGGAATTCTAATATAGCTGGAGGTAAAGCTTTTCTTTTCCTAAGTATGATTTCTATGTTTTGATCTACTTTACTTCAATCCTACTTTTGTTCTTCCAAAAATTTCCACTTGCAAGTCACTAGCCTCAACTTTTAAGATATCAAGAGTTGTAATCCAGTATATGTAGAGGACATAAAGCTAGGGAAGACTTTTTCCACCTCTCTTGCATGTTATAACATTTTCATAATATGTAGAAACAAGTACAAGATCTAAACCCCATTTGTGAGGGGGAAAGAAATCTGTTGAAATATGTATGGGTCAAAGTCAAACTCATTTGTAAAAATGATGGGATTTACAAATTGGAACTAAAGATATAGAGAAAAACGTGAAATTTAATTATTTTCATTTCTTTTTAGGTATCCTTGCTTTCTTTTTTTTTACCCAGAGAATAAAACTGATTCAAGACACAGCACCAACTCTCAATTATTACTGGGTCCCCATTCTGGTTAGTATTTTTTAAAATATGGATATTTTTTCTCCAATTCCAGCTGTATTGCTTAGCAGCTGTTTTCTGTTTGTTTTATCTACTTTATAGCATTGAAGTTTGATAGTTGTGTTGCTTAGGAGGGAGGGTTGAGAAAGTGTCACTACTACTTTACTAAAATATAATATGTGTAAGCCCTATTTCGGAAATCTGGAAACTCAGTCAACAAACACATTTGCTCACAGGTTTGGTGAAAAGTAGTTTATTGTAGATTGTTTTCTCCCACAATGGCAATCCCGAGCAAAGCCAGCGCTGAGAGTGAACGCCTCTCAGCGCCTTTTATGCCCCATCCCCTTCCCAAACTAGCATCCGCCTAACTAATTAACCCCACGCTCCGCCGCCCACAATCCTAATCGCAACTATATCCAATGCCCAGAACACACCCAACCCTGAAGTGCTGACTCATAAGCCAAAGAAAAGGAAACCACAATAAGATGAGTTCCCCGCCTCATCGCTGGAATGCAATACAATCCTCACGCCCTGCAACTAAAGATAGTTCGGCAGGCACTTGCAATGGATCCACATTGTTACGTGCCGCAAATGGAACAGCCAACAGTCCCATGTTGTTTCAGCGAGGGGAACAGCCAGTTGGGTAGGAGGCGCAGATTTGGAGACCCATCTCCCACTCCTTATTAGGTGACTGGCAATGTGTCAGGCACGATCAGTGAAGCCTGACAGGTGACCCCCTCTACTCTCTCCATCTGTAATAAAGGGAATATGGTTAGGATGATGTAATGCCCCTTGTTCATACCTCCCGCCTGCCTTCTTAGGATATTTTTTATGGAATTGTTGATGTAGACGAGTAGCAGACACATCTTTATATGATACCCATGAAGTGTCTGCTAATTGATAGCTCTCCCACCTTACTAAATATTGTAGGATTCCGCGCTGATGTCAGGAATCAAGTATTTCCTTAATCTCGTAATGATCATCATGGATTGGGCCAGGGGTCCTTACTCTGGGCTCTTGTCTAGTCATATTAGCTTGTTTAAGAAGACTGATAAGAAATACAGGGTGAATCCTTTTAAAACGTGAAGATAGTCAAAGCCCAACTGTGACTGGATTTATAACTCGTATCACTAAGAACGGTCCAATATATTTTGGACCTAATTTTTTATTAGGAAGACCCAACTGTATGTATTCCATTGAGAGATATACCCAGTCGCCTATGTTCTATTGGACTTGTGCGGATCATTTTTTATCCACCTGACGTTTGTACTCTGCTTGTGCTTGTTTTAAGGCAACTTTTACTGTTTCCCATTGTTTCCGTATCTTATCCGCCAAAGTTGAAACAGTATTTGGTTCCCGAGTTGCATGAGGCCATTCCGGTATTGGTACAAACTCCGTACCACTAACTATCTGAAATGGAGAAAATCCCGTACTACTATGGATTGTATTATTGTATGCTATTTCAGCATACGGAAGTAGGTCCACCAAGTTACTCTGTTGGTAATTTACGTAACACCGTACATTGCTCTATAGCGACATCAGCTCATTCCGCAGCTCCATTGGTACACGGGTGGTAAGCCGTACTTAATCCTTGGGTAGACCCAATCAAGTATATAAATTCTCTCCAGAATTTTGCTGTGAACTGTACTCCATGGTCAGATATGATTTTGCATGGTACACCATGTAATCTATAAACATGCTTTATGAATAAACTGCTAATTTTCTAGCAGAAGGCAATCCTTTACAAGGGATGAAATGTGCCTGCTTGGAAAATAAATCAATGACGGTCCATAGAACATTGTAGCCACGAGTTTGTGGTAGTTCCACTATGAAGTCCATACCAATGTCTTGCCAAGGTTTTATGGGCTCAGACACAGTTTGCAATAACCCGATGGGTTTCCCTATTTTTATTTTATTAACCATACAGGTAGGACATGATTTCACATAGCGTTCTATATATGTCCTCATACCCGGCCACCAAAATCGTCGTTTCACTTAGTGCAATGTTTTTAAAAACCCATAATGTCCTGCTGTTTTGTTGTCATGACAACGTTTCAGTACTGTCGATCGTAGACTATTCGGAACATACATTTTATCCTTTCGCTACTCAATCCCATTTCTCATTTCAACTTGACTTTTATTATCGATCAACCATTGATCTTCTGTTAATATAGTAGGCCAGTCACTGGTGAGTATAGTAGTTTTTAATGACTCGGCATGGTTACTGCATGGTATAAGTGGTTGTATTATATTATCCCTTTGGTTATTGTATTGAGGAAGCTGTGATAAGGCATCTGCCATGAATTTTTTTCCTGATAGAACATATTTTAATGTAAAATTAAACCATTTAAAATACAACGCCCACCTAACCTGCTTTGGGGATAATCGGCATGGGCTTTGCAATGCTTCCAAATTCTTATGATCAGTCCACACCTCAAACGGATGTGGACTTCCCTCCAGTAAATGTCTCCAGGTGAGCAAGGCCCAACGAACTGCAAATGCCTCCTTCTCCCAAATTGCCCAGTTGCGTTCAGTCAAACTAAATTTTCTGGATGTATAAGCACACAGCTGCAACAGTCCTTTTATGTTTGTCTGCAATAGGACAGCTCCCACTGCCACATTGCTTGCATCTGCCTGGTTAACAAATGGCAGATTTGGATCGGTGTTTCAACATCAGCTCTTGAGCAAACAAACGCTTTAAATTTTCAAAAGCCTCCTGACATGTTGTAGTCCATAGTAATCCAATTCTTGTTTTTGATTTTTTAATATCAATAGATTTAGTACGCAATAGTTCAGTTAAGGGTAAAGCTATGTCAGCAAAGCGGGGTATAAATTGACGATAGAAATTTGCAAACCCCCAAAAACTTTGTAATTGTTTCTTTGTGTTCAGGGCTTTCCAATCCAACACAGCTTTAACTTTAGTGGGGTCCATTTCAATACCCTGTGCAGATATGCAATATCCTAAATAATCCAACTGCCAGGTGTGAAATTCGCATTTTGACAATTTGACATATAACTGGGCATCCAGCAATTTTCGAAGCACCTGTCGCACTAATTGAATATGCTCATATTCATTATCCGAATAAATTAAAATATCCAGATAAACTAAAACACCCCTATATAAATGTTCATGCAACACTTCATTTATCAGTTGCATAAAGACCACTGGAGCCCCCTGTAAGCCAAACAGCATCACATTGAAATGATAACTACCGAGAGGACAATTAAACATGGTTTTCCATTCATCTCCCTTCCGTATTCTCACTCTATAGTACACTTCTCTTAGATCGAGTTTTGTAAATATTCGTCCTTTTGCCAAGGTAGATAGTAAATCCTTAATCAGTAGTAATGAGTACAATGGTTCCAGGTAGATCACGTTTAGGCCTCTATAGTCAACAGATAAACGAAGTCCTCCATCTTTCTTCTCACGAAACAACACTGGCGCTGCCATATGAGACCTTCCAGGGGTGATTAAACCCCCTCTTTAGATTTTTATCAATGTACTGTCTCATTTCATCTAACTCACGCAGAGTCATTGAATACATCCGTGGTTTAGGCAAAGGAGCCCTTGGAATTAATTCTATGGCACAGTCCATAGTGCGATGAGGTGGTAAGCAATCAGTGCCCTCTTCATTGAATACATCAGACAAATCTGCATATTCACTGGGATATTGATATTCAGGTATTCCTTGAGTTTTTTCATTTAACAATTTACTAGCTATCAGATGTTTTTCATTATGCTCTGGTGGATAAGGACCAGCCACTAATTGTATCTTTCGATAGCCGTTCTCCCAATGTATGGTCGGTTCCCATTTATCCAGCCATGCCAATCCCAAAATTAATGCTTCACTCATATGAGAAACCACCACAAAAGAAATCCATTCCCAGTGCTCTCCCATAACTATTTTGATATATTTTGTCCTATGAGTTGCTGGAGTTCCACCTAGTATAGACCCATCCACCTGTTCAAACTTAATTGGAACATCCAATTTAATAACCCGTAACTGCAATTTCTCCACCACCGCATTAGTAATTAGACACCTTGTACATCCTGAATCAATTAATGCCCCCACTTGAACAGTTTAATTAGTACGTTTATTCCACAGAGACACAGGTATAATAAAAGGATTAATAGGGCTACTTACCATAGGATCGTCAGGCATAATACTCTCCATTTCACTTTCACACGACGTATTGGATGGAATAGTAAATGGTTCTTCTGCACTCTGGCTTCCGGGTGGGTTACTCACTATTCCTCTCGTCCTCTCACACTCTTTCCATTCTTGTCTCCCTGGTTTATCTCAATGCAAAGATGAAGGTAGTTGGGGCCCTTCATCATAATTAATGGCGGTACATACAGGACATTCCATGGCCCTGTGACCAGGTCTATCACAACGAAAACACCGAAATGTCCCTCTGTCTCTGCCCCTTTGAATTGGAGTTTGCCTATATAATTGCCTTGTAATAGTATCTAAAGGCCTTATTGGTGGTGTAATCCTTTCCAGTCTCGGGTGCAATCGACGTAAACCATTGTCCAATTCGATTGCCACTTGATACCATGGTGCTAATGTAGTAACGAACCACGATAAAGACAAGCCTGGTTTAAATTACTATCCAGGCCTTCTCTAAACAGATGGATTAACAAACTCTCCAGTATGAATGGTATACTAACCATCCTCCTAAACTCCCCTACATACTCCCAAGCCGACCGACCCTTTTGGTTGCTAACAAATCCTCCTCTGCTTGTTTGTCAGCTGTATTGTCTTCAAAACGAAAGCAGCCAAGAATTGACCTACATCTGCTAATTCTTCTGCCCTATGATGGTACAGATCAGCCGCCCAATCATGGGCCTCTCCAACCAAGACACCTGTAATCGCTACTATCAAAGACCAATGTGATGTGTAGTAGTGGCCATATAACTCAAAATGATTTAATACTTGTCCTAGAAAGATAGCCACTTTACTTGGAGTTCCATCAAAGCTTGCTGTTCAGGGAGGAACCCATCGCCCCTG